GGTCGTCACGGGTCCCTTACGATGTGTTGCAGGTCGTCACGGGTCCCTTACGGTGTGTTGCAGGTCGTCACCGGTCCCTTACGATGTGTTGCAGGTCGTCACCGGTCCCTTACGGTGTGTTGCAGGTCGTCACCGGTCCCTTACGATGTGTTGCAGGTCGTCACCGGTCCCTTACGGTGTGTTGCAGGTCGTCACGGGTCCCTTACGGTGTGTTGCAGGTCGTCACCGGTCCCTTACGGTGTGTTGCAGGTCGTCACGGGTCCCTTACGGTGTGTTGCAGGTCGTCACGGGTCCCTTACGGTGTGTTGCAGGTCGTCACGGGTCCCTTACGGTGTGTTGCAGGTCGTCACCGGTCCCTTACGGTGTGTTGTAGGTCGTCACGGGTCCCTTACGGTGTGTTGCAGGTCGTCACGGGTCCCTTACGGTGTGTTGCAGGTCGTCACGGGTCCCTTACTAACGGTAGTAAGATGCCTAAAGATTTCCCATGAAAATATGGTACATTTATTGATGTAGTGATCGGTTAAATTTGTGAGTAGGATTGTCAGTCTCGGGTAAGAAGGCTTATTATGCTTTTCCTACAAGCACTTATATGTAAATAGGATTGGTTATTAAATCTTTGAGTCACGTTAATAATTATTATTGACACTCATGTCATTCTTGACACAAAAGGTTGAGCATCATTTATCAGGAAATATAGACAGTTTTATAAAGTTGGTTATCGTTTAGGAATGAGAGAGCCCGTGGTTGGTTATCATTCAGAGTGAGAGAGCCCGTGGTTGGCTTTCATTCAGAGTGAGAGAGCCGGTGGTTGGCTATTATTATAGGGTGAGAAAGAGTCGGTGGTTGGTTATCATTCAGAGTGAGAGAGCCGGTGGTTGGCTATTATTATAGGGTGAGAAAGAGTCGGTGGTTGGCTATCATTCAGAGTGAGAGAGTCGGTGGTTGGCTATCATTATAGGGCGAGAAAGAGTCGATGGTTGGCTATCATTATAGGGCGAGAAAGAGTCGGTGGTTGGCTATCATTCAGAGTGAGAGAGCCGGTGGTTGGCTTTCATTCAGAGTGAGAGAGCCGGTGATTGGCTATCATTCAGAGTGAGAGAGCCGGTGGTTGGCTATCATTATAGGGCGAGAAAGAGTCGGTGGTTGGCTATCATTCAGAGTGAGAGAGCCGGTGGTTGGCTATCATTATAGGGCGAGAAAGAGTCGGTGGTTGGCTATCATTCAGAGTGAGAGAGCCGGTGGTTGGATATCATTATAAGGCGAGAAAGAGTCGGTGGTTGGCTATAACCCAACCCGTTCTCGCACTTTCGTATAGTCAATATTGACTTATTAAATACGTGCATATGTGACATACTAAACATACTAGTTTACCTTGAAAAGCTTCATAGAAAACACCGACCTTACCTAACCTTCTTAGTATGTTAAGCATCTTATTGCTTCGTAATTACAATTATTACTTAACCTATTATAGGTATAGGTTAAGGTATAGGTATAGGTTATCTTATTGCTTCGTAATTACAATTATTACTTAACCTATTATAGGTATAGGTTAAGTAATAATTGTAATTACGAAGCAATAAGATGCTTATCTTAACATACTAAGAAGGTTAGGTAAGGTCGGTGTTTTCTATGAAGCTTTTCAAGGTAAACTAGTATGTTTAGTATGTCACATATGCACGTATTTAATAAGTCAATATTGACTGAAAGAAAGTGCGAGAACGGGTTGCATTATAAGGCGAGAAAGAGTCGGTGGTTGGCTATCATTCAAGGTTGACAGCGTCGGTATAAAAACCATTTAAGGTCTTCACGAGGGTGGGAGCGTAGCACCCTAGCCAGGGAAACATTGTATGTTCCAGCACCCACATCGACCCGTGACAAACGGGTCCTTCCTCTGGTGGTTCTTCCCGCTCTTACTCCAGCACTGTCCCGCCCTTTCCATACGTCTCCCATCGTTACTCAGGGGAAATATGAACATTCACAATAATATGGAAATATGGCACAAATAATAAAAATAATTGAGATAATTAGCCATTGGTAATGTTTATAATAATAATAATAATAATAATAATAATAATAATAATAATAATACAAGTAACACTAAAAATAGATTAAGAGTTTGCTGGGCTGCAATATGTAGCAGAGACTAGAGCCTATTTTTGTTCAGGGTTGTATAAATAAATAAATAAATATATAGATAAATAAATAAATAAAATACACTCTGCAGCCTAACCTCTCATATTTACACACTATTCTTTTTACATAGGTGGGCTCAGCAGCAGGTGCTTTTTAATTGTTCTTAGTAGACTTACATGTGTTCTTTTTTTCTATACTAGTTTTTCCCCCGGAACACGACCCGCAGATATATTTATAACCATGTTACCATGAATAGTCTAGTATTGGTGTCCAGTCATACATACACACACACACACACACACACACACACACACACACACACACACACACACACACACACACACACACACACACACACACACACACACACCATACCTGGGCTCGAACTCCGCTGAAATCGCTTGCAAGACGTTTGGCTACTGCAACAACCTCACAAGGACACACCCTCACTACCCCCTCCTCCCCCCCCCCCCTCTCTCTCTCTCTCTCTCTCTCTCTCTCTCTCTCTCTCTCTCTCTCTCTCTCTCTCTCTCTCTCTCTCTCTCTCTCTCTCTCTCTCCCTCCCCTCGTGAATGCTTGTGTAAGAAAGCGTGTGTTATTAAATTTTACTGAAAGTGTTAGAGCAATTATTGTGGCACAAATCTTGTGTATATTTCACTTGGGAAGGAGGTTGAAAAATTAACTCTTTAAAGCTCTTTTTTTTTAGAATTTAATAGGGGCCTGAAGGGTGTCGGTCAGGGACGCATTTCGCTGAAGCTCTCTTGAACATGTACGAAGGCAAAGGGAAACTAAATAGCCTAGCAGGTTCGGCATTATGTACACTCAGAATAAAATGGGGAGAGGAATAAATAGGTACCCGGTAGTTAGGCAACGGTTAAGGGCTGCGTTCTCCTGGGGAAGGTCGTACTAGCCTATGGAGGGACTACGATACGGAGACTACGATACGAAGACTACGATGGGGAGACTACGATGGGGGGACTACGATGGGGGGACTACGATGGGGGGACTACGGTGAACCTATAATAGGCTTCCTCTCCCCAACAATGGGAAACAAAACCCATTTCTCCTTGCAAGTATTATACGCGAAGGAAGACGTTTAGAAGTAACTGTGGTAACATAAATGAGGACGGGGGCAGAATGGTTGAAATTATCGTACAGCATTTTTAGCTTTCGAGGACGTAGGTGATGAAGAAGGTAGAGAATGAGAGCCACCATCCTGGGACCAGGATTCATCAGGCATTCACGCAATCACTAACGAAATCTGTACAGCTTTCCTTAATCATGTTGGCTTTGTTTACATAATTTATTACACAATTTACAAGCTTCGAAACTTTACAACCCAAGGATATTTTTGTTATAAACAACCTCGTAATGGTTCGAAGTTCATAAACTGTTTAATAAATGTAAACAGGAACAAATCGACAAAGGGCTGTGATGAGGGTTCGAACCTGCGCACGGGATGTGCGGGATGTTCCCAGGGGCAGCTAGGAACATCCCGTGCTATTGTGTTCGAACCCTCATCACGGTCCTTGTGGATCTGTTCATTTGATATCTCACGCTATTGGGATTTCTATGTGAAATGTAAACAGCTGCCATTTGTTCCCAACATTCAGTCTGTTTCTGTATTATAAAACAGAATTACAAAAGAACATTTTGTCTGTTCTGTATTATGATTCTGTTACGTGAAATGTTGCGTTACAGCTGTGTTACACGAAGTGTTTCATTATGATTGTATTACATGAAGTACTGTAATGTGACTTGTAGTGTGACATATGGTACTTCGTTACTATTGTGTTACATAAAATGCGGCATTACCATTATAACATGGAATGATGCATTATTATTGTGTTACCTCAAGTGTTTCATAACTATTGTGTTAACATATTGACGTGCTGCATTACTAGTGTTACATGACGTGTTGCATTACTATTGTGTTACATGAGGTCTTACATTACTATTGTGTTACATGAGGTCCTACATTACTATTGTGTTACATGAGGTCTTACATTACTATTGTGTTACATGAGGTCTTACATTACTATTGTGTTACATGAGGTCTTACATTACTATTGTGTTACATGAGGTCTTACATTACTATTGTGTTACATGAGGTCTTACATTACTATTGTGTTACATGAGGTCCTACATTACTATTGTGTTACATGAGGTCCTACATTACTGTTGTGTTACATGACGTGCTGCATTACTAGTGTTACATGAGGTCTTACAGTACTTTTGTGTTACATGAGGTCCTACATTACTATTGTGTTACATGAGGTCCTACATTACTATTGTGTTACATGAGGTCCTACATTACTATTGTGTTACATGAAGTCTTACATTACTATTGTGTTACATGAGGTCTTACATTACTATTGTGTTACATGAGGTCCTACATTACTATTGTGTTACATGAAGTCTTACATTACTATTGTGTTACATGAGGTCTTACATTACTATTGTGTTACATGAGGTCTTACATTACTATTGTGTTACATGAGGTCTTACATTACTATTGTGTTACATGAGGTCTTACATTACTATTGTGTTACATGAGGTTCTACATTACTATTGTGTTACATGAGGTCTTACATTACTATTGTGTTACATGAGGTCCTACATTACTATTGTGTTACATGAGGTCTTACATTACTATTGTGTTACATGAGGTCTTACATTACTATTGTGTTACATGAGGTCTTACATTACTATTGTGTTACATGAGGTTCTACATTACTATTGTGTTACATGAGGTCTTACATTACTGTTGTGTTACATGAAGTGCTGCCAAACGACTTTGCTATATATTGTATTTTACGTAATGGAAAGTGATATGTATTATAAGCGAACTATTTGTTTCGTTGCAGATATCCAGTCATGGTGGGAGCTACCGAGTATTGCACACTTTTGCTCACTCTTCAGGGCTGCCTTCGATCTTCTTGACTTTGATATCGAGGTGAGTCTTTACACACAAGGGGCATAACAGGCCAACTTCTTACAGTGTTCAAAAGAGAACTTGATAAACACCCTCAGAAGACAGAGACCTGATCAACCAGGCTGTGAGTCAATACGTCAGGCTTCGAGCTGCCTAGTTGACCAAACCACTAATCAGGAGGCCTGGTCAAAGACCGGATCTCGGGGGACTTTGATCTTCGAACTCATCGACAGGTAAACAAAAGCCGCTTTCGAGGCCTGCGCGCCCGCGCTCCCAACCCCGTCATGTGGGTACATACTCATTGTTGTAAAGTGAGAGTACCTATAACGACGGTGGATGGAATATGCAAAATATGAACTTGCACCCAAGTAACCAGCCCCATATTATTTTGTAGAGAGCCATAGAAAAAAAGGCAGAAACCAACCTTTCTTTGCCTAGGCCTAAGATTACATTTCAGACCTAAGAGTGCTTATTTAGGCTTTGGACTAGTTAAGTTATGTTAGGTTTATGTGATCTCGCTCGCCCATAAACCTCCCTCGCGTGCGTGCACTCACTCACTCACTCACTCACTCACTCACTCACTCACTCACTCACTCACTCACTCACTCACTCACTCACTCACTCACACTCTCTCTCTCTCTTTCATACAGAATATATGACTCGGAAAAAGGGGTGGGAACACCATGACATTATCAAAATGTCTTCAGGGGTTTTAAAGGTTAAATACGATGAGTAGAATTTTTATTAAATTTTACATGATCAGCACAAAATGTTTTACAATATACAGTATTAACAAAAATATTGTGAGTCACAATGTAAGAGCAAGAATCGTCTTGGGGTTTGCTATGGCACCATGCTTCATGGTACTCATTTCAGTGATGCCAATCAGAACCTACCAATGTTGGGCACTTACCTCACATCGTCACCAGGCAAAATTGGGTGAGGCTAGCCCATAGCCCCTGGCCTTCAACCTTGGAGAGACAGGCAAGCAGACCTTCCACTTTATAGATATACAGTACTGTACTCTAGAATATCATAATTTGTGCATTGTTAGAAAATATTAAATATATTAAATATGTATTGTGTTACAGGAGCTAGAGGAGGCACTACTCACCGATGGCTTGGACGACACCGGGAGCCCACTGTTGGTGGAGCTGACAGTACGCTTGGTGCAGGGCTGCCTACCTGGCAAGACAGTCAATGCTACCAATTACCAGAGTTATTTAAGGAAGCTCTTCAAACACAAATGTCAGGTAACTTATTATTCTTCATTTCTTCTAAGGCTCTTGCTGTTAAGATAACATATTGGCACCCTGTTTTAACTATATGACAGGATACAGAGTGGATACAAGTCATATCATACACAAGACACTTTGCTAATAGATTTTAAATGCTACCTAACCCAGCCCAACCCATCCCAGTCAAGCCTAATACAGCCTAACAAACAAATACATCATAGCATAATAATATACTGTATACTGTACTGTCAAAAAAAAGGAACTTTGGCGAAATGCCTGTGTGCGATTTGACCAAACCCCAAACAGAGTTTGTATCAAACGCAGATAAGGTGTCGAGACTTGCTGAGTCGACAGTCGAGTCACATGGTCGATGGTGTCATGAGGGATGATTCCAAGACTTTCTGGGACATGGTTTCAGACTTATGGGACACCCTGAATGTTTTGTAGATTATTAAAAAAGCCGCTGCAATAGCTCTCTGAAACTTTCTGGTAATATGGATCATTACTTTTGGCATGTGTCAAGGTCCTAACATCATGTGGACAAACATTTAAGAAAGCTGCATAACTGAGAGTTTGGGAAGTTTTGTTATTTGTGTTCCAACTTATAGTTCTTGTGTACACAAAAATGTACATGAATACTATTGGTACCAGTATATAATAATTATAATTAGATCAGGGAGGCTCTTGCACATAATTTCACATTCTATATGATAAATTTAAAATATATTTTTGTGTCTGATGAATTATTCATAATTCTGACAAAGATTAATGTTCACAAGTAGGGGTAATTTAATTATGTATATGCATCATTTTTTTGGGTCGGGAGGGTGGACTTTTGATGTTTTAAAACTTGCCACCTGGGATAAGTTTAGCAGATGGCCCCCATATCTAATATGATTCTCAAGTTCTTTACTGGATATACAGTACTTGACATGAGAGAACTACCAAAACTGTAAATCTGAATACATTTGCTAATTACCATTAGACATAGAAGGATCTTTGTTCATTGCATTGCACCACATGTGGCATTACTATATATGCCAGCCTTTACCTGTTACTTCTGTGTTGCTGCCGGTGCTTTTATAGGCGAGGGAGGAATGTTGTAACAGTGTTTTTTTTTTCGGATCAATTTCGAGCATGAGTCAACTGAAACCTACTATGTAACAGTGCCCTAAGGTGAGGCATTGTGCCCCAAGGAGAGGCATTGTGCCCCAAGGTGAGGCATTGTGCCCCAAGGTGAGGCATTGTGCCCCAAGGTGAGGCATTGTGCCCCAAGGTGAGGCATTGTGCCCCAAGGTGAGGCATTGTGCTCAAGATGTTACATTATGCCAAAAGGTGTTACATTATGCCCCAAGGTGATACATTGTGCCCAAGGTGATATGTTATGCAATATTTTACATGCAATATTTGAATTAAAAACTTCAAGATGGTGCTTTTCTAACTAGTGTTGACAGGCTTACTCAGACCAAGACATGATTCCCAGTTATTATAGTGTCAGGAGTGGGGGATTGTTTGCATTGGTAGTGGGGGTGACAGAGGTGGTGGTGGGTTGGTCCATTGCACGCTGCAGGTTACGACACTTCCTGCAATCACTGTCACGTCCTCCATAAAATATCTTGAACACTTCCACTTGGGGGACGACGACGTTTGTAACCCTTTCCACCATTGCCCACAGGATGGGTATGGGGTGCATAATAAAGAGAGAAATTAAATTGTATATATACTCTGTACTGTATTAATGTGTTATTATCTGGCCTTAATCTGATATGTTTTCCCCTCCATGTATTCACATACAAACCTTTCAGTTCTCATTCTCAGGTGACTGCACTGACCACTACACAAAAAATATTTTATATATCACACACAGAGATCACACTAACGTGATGCATCAAATGAACAAATCCACAAGGGCCGTGACGAGGATTCGAACCTGCGTCCGGGAGCATCCCAGACACTGCCTTAATCGACTGAGATATGACAGGGTAAAAGGGTTGAAACCGAAGTTCTACTGAACTTACTGGATCCCGTAGGTTTCAACCCTTTTACCCTGTCGTAGCTCAGTCGATTAAGGCAGTGTCTGGGATGCTCCCGGACGCAGGTTCGAATCCTCGTCACGGCCCTTGTGGATTTGTTTATTTTATATATATTTTTTTTATTATTTCAGGAGGATCCTACTAGAGAAAATTTATTTGTTGAGGGGGATATGCGATGGCTCCCGCTTAGACGAAAAGTAGAAATTCTTCATGCTATCTGTGACTTCAGACTAGAAGCTGAAGATGTTCTTGATCTCTTAAAAGTAAGTCCTTTTTTACCATCACTGTTCAGTAGTACAGTATATAAGGGATGATTTCTGTTTTTAAAAAATAGTTTTGAAATTTATTGCCTTAGTAAGTCATTGATGTCCATTAAGGTTTGTTCGAACAATATTTGCAATATTTTATTCTTCACTACACCAGTGTAAACTTAATGTACTTGTTTAAGTCTTCTTATGAGCTATGCTTATTTCACATCATATCTTCAATCTTCTGAAAATAGAACCTATTGTCAAAATAGAAAAATGTGCATAAAAGCATAGAATTTATAGCAAAAATTTATTATTTTAATATAGGGAGTTCCAAATTTTGGACAATTTGCTCAGTACTTGTAACCAAATTTTCCATATGTGTTTTGCAATAAAGGTAGTTAGGTTCATTAACCTACAAAAATCAACTTTTGAGAACAATATACATGGACAAATAAATATATAGACTGAATACAGTACACACTGTTTTTACTTGGTAAATGAAGGTTATTAAGGCAAACAGCTCACTGAACAGTCTGAATCAAGCACATAGTAATATTCACACACCCATTACTGCTGTATTAGTAATGTAGACTGCTGGTTGTAAGTACTAGTAGGCAACACCATGGTGAAACCTAACTACAACAGATGTATTTGCATTGAACAGCCATTTACAGCTGTGGGTGAGATTAAGTCAGTTGCTTGTTTGTACGTCAAATGTTTATAAGATGGAAATTCCTGTATTCCTAGAGCTGCAATGAATTTGAATGATCTAATGGTAGACTTAAGTTACAAGATACAGTAATTGCAGTGACATTTATTGCAAACAAATGAATTTCATTTTCAGAATTTAGAATCCGACAGTTTACGGGTGGAGCCTCTTGGGTACGATGATAGTGGCTCTACTTACTGGTATTTTTATGGCACCCGCCTCTATAGGGAAGACCATTCATTATACCACCCTCACAGACGGAAACCAAAGGATAAAGACAAAGAAAAAGAAGATAAAAGAAAAAAGAAACGAAAGAAAAAAGGCCATAAAAATGAGGAGACTGACGAGGAAGCAGATATACCAAAGCCTGTTTGGCAGGTAAGGCTATATTATATAAATAGTCATTGAAGTGTAATGCATAGTTTGCTATCTAAATTCTGATATACTGTAGCTTGCCTAATATTTTATTTAGAATTTGGATTCACCTTGCAGGCAAATGTGTTATGAAGTTCGATGATAATGCCTCATATGTTACTTCGCTCATAGTTTAACATACTTCAATCCTTGATTCCAGCATAAAGATTTTCCAGATATCATTTGGATGTAAAACTCATGTTGTAATTAATCCGGTTTTTATATATGTGATTTTAGTACTATGCATAATTCTTTTTTTTTTTTACTTAAAGTATAGCATGATAAATAAATAAACTCAACAATCTTTCAGGTTCAATGCTTTTCTGAGGAGGATTGGAACATTCTCGCAGAAAAGTTTGAAGATTGTGCGTCCAAACTGGAACGTAGTTTGTTACAGACTCTCCGTGAGGACTTCCTTCCAGAGATTCCACGGCTCTTCCAGGAAAAAGAGAAGGTTGTTCTGGCTTTGCAACAATATATGGATTAGTTTCCAGTATTAAGCCTAAGATTACTATTGTAGTGATGTAAGACTATTATTTATGATTTTCAATTGCTATCATAGAGAAGTGTGTAAGTAGAGTATTAAAACTTACACAAAATGTTTATTGGCATTGTAATGTCTTATCTTTTTTATGTTTTAATTGCTGGAATCTAGTTAAGTATATTTTGAAATATTGTTTTGTATTAACAGATTCAGAGAAAGCGTATGATGGAATTTGCTCCCAGAAGATCTTCTGGACGGGTACAAAAATTGAAAGAGAAAAAAGAGGAGGAGGAGAAGAAGATGGCAATAGAAATTGTAGAACAGGAAAAGAGAAGACAATTAGAGGAAGATAAAAGAAAGAAAAAAAAAGAAGAAGAATTGGTTGCAGCGGAAAAAGTTGAAAAGTTAGTGTACTGTGAGAGCAATATGTATTATTTGTTAATAACATATTAAATAGCATACTATTTAGTGAAAGAATACATGTAAAGTATGGGTAAAAAAAAATAAAAAGAGTAAAGTATTTTCAACAAAGATTATTGAAATGGCTAGATGTGATATGTTCATATTATGAGGATGAACCTTGTTAAGAAGTTCATAATAAAACATATATCATTCCGTTATTCTGTTTTGTGTGTGTGCTGTATGCTACTTAGATTATCAAAGGAACATAAGCTGCTATTTTATCAAATATATACAAACATATTACTTTCCACAGGAAAAACATTCGTGAAGTTTTGAAAGAAGAGATAATTCAGGAAAAAGCAACGCCAGTCAAACTTAACAAATCTCCACGAGAAAGAAAAAGAAGTGAAGGCCATGACTTTAGAGTAAGAGATAAGGTGGACAAAAAGGTGGAAGTGATTGAGATCAATGACGCATCTGATCATAATGAGGATGTTTGGGAGGAACCAGTCAGAAAAGCTAGAATGGGGAGGCCAAGAAAAATAAGTACTGAAGAGTCCGAGGAAAAGGTTAAAAGTGGACGAGGAAGAAAGCCAGGTCGTGGGAGAAAACCAGGAAGGAAGCCTGGATCACAAAGACAGGTTTCAAAAGAGGAAGCGACAGATGAGGAGGTTGATGAGAGTACCAAGCCACAGGTGAGACTCATTTCTTATTGTGTATGAGAGAAGACATAGTCATTATGCACAAATATAAGATAGATAAGATAAGATAATGTTTATTCAGGTAAAAGTACATACTGTACATTCAAAATGAGTTACAAACATAATGTTGGATTTCTAGATAGAACTAGTACATACTATGCCTAAAGCCACTAATATGCACAGTGTTTCGAACAATTATATCACCATTATAAGAGAGCAGGAAATAGCGTGAGAAATAAGTGGGAATGGAGAAGAGATGAAAGTGGTTGAGCATTTAAATTGCCTGGGTGTACAATTGACAAAAAAAAGGAGGAAGTTGTGAAAAAGAAGTTGAGCATATAGAGCCGGAGAAGGAGAGTGGCTGGTGCACAGAAATGCATATGGCATTTTCTGAGTAGCACCGCGCACCTGGTCATATAAAGCAAATGGAGATGTGCTGTATATGACTTGCTATGGATGATTGCTGAAGTGTGGAAGAGCTTGCTTATTTTTTATATTACACATCTTGAATAATATAATGAATGGACAAGGAATTTTATTAATGTTTTATTTCTTAATATCTGTAACCCTTTACTATATTCATAATTATAATGCAGTGTATGTAAATACAGTAATATACTGTACTGTACAAAACTATACGTGGTGCAGGGTAAATGGTGGAAGGGTAGAAAAAGTATTATTTGACTACAGAATATGGTTCTGGAGAAGGGAAGGGAACTATCAGGAGAAAGTGCCAAGCCATTATGACTATATAGCACTGGGAAGGGATCAGGATAAGGATTAGGGATGGGATGGGGGGAAGAAATAGTGCCCAACCACTTGGACGGTCGGGAATTGAACGCCGACCTGCATGAAGCGAGACAGTCACTCTACCGTCCAGCCCAAGGGCTTAGTTCTGGAGAGAGATGCATGTTTAAGTACTGTACTGTGTGCGTACCTGGAGCATACCTGGAGAAGGTCTCGGGGGTTTTTCTACTCGCCGAGCCCGGTCTGAGGCCAGGCTCAACCTGTGCATATGATATGATAGCAACAAGAAGAATGAATATCTGGGAGTTTGAGGACATAAAAGTGCCATGTAAAATAAAATTGAATTGTAAAGGCATGATGGTATTTGTCCTGAATTCAAGAGGGAAAAATAATAAAATTTAAGAAATTTAGAGAAATAAAAGTGACAAATAATACATAGAGTTAGTAGTGATT